AGCGCCTTAACCACCAATCGTTAAGGTAACGAGAGAACTTAATTCATAACTAATTCTATCAATAATTTAGTGTTGTTTTTAAGTATTAACTTGAAGTACGAGTTTAGACCTTTGTGTAGACATACTTCAAAGAATGACACACTTTTCTTTCAATTGCTGCAACTCAAAATCATTGTTTTTATTTGTTTTAGAGCAAAGCCACATTGGGCTATCTGCTGTCTCCACCGCGGGGAATCATACCCCCCGATTTCAGCGTTGTACGTCCGTAAAATTACCGCAGAATTATTTATTTAATAGGAGAGATATTTTTTTTTTTCGAAAAATTATTTCACATTTAAAATCTTCAAATTCTGTGGAAAGATTGTGAAAAATATTTATACTACAAAGAAACTTTTATATACAGGTGTAGGTTATTATAGATATGACTTAGCTCTAATTCGCTAACTTACCAACTAATATCATTGTAAAAACGATTGAAGGGGAATCTTGGTTAAAGCTAGTATAAGGTTTAACTCAACTCAAAATAAATATAAAAAAATGATACCGCAGAAGAGTTTTCTGTTTGGTCTTCTCAAGAAATATATAACTAAACTCTGAAAATAGAGGTAGGACTTTTGCTAAAGCTAAAAACTAACAGTTCCTGTTATTGGTCGAACAACGTTTGAAGTTACATCATTATTAAATATCACAGTAATTCCGGTAGAGATAAGACTAATGCTAAAAACTAACAGTTCCTGTTATTGGTCGAACAACGTTTGAATTACATCATTATTAAATATTAAGTATCTTAGGGACCGGGCGTGGCCTATAATGACAATCGTTTCTTGACTGTAAATCCGAGGATTCGTGATTCGCCACTAGTTACTTTAAAAACGCCCTCCGCACTTTGGAGCCATAGATGCGCTATAAGCGTGACGGTCAAATTCAATTATTCAGTTAGTCACGAGGAGATGGAGGTGGATAGTGTTGACTAGATTGTCCCCTCTAGTCTGTCATTTTAAAATTAGGGGCGGCTAATAGCCCTCATATAGCTTTGCGCGAAAATTCAACAAACCAACTACAAACTTTGTGTAGCTTTGCACCAATTTCTGAAACAAATATATTTTGTATTAAGTAGGCTATACGATCACCGAAGTCTGATTATTAATTAGTTATTCATTTTTATATATGAATTATACTATGTACTAATAACTAACTAACGGTAGTACTTATACTAAGATTAAATTAAAATCTCAAACACACTGTAAACAGCATGTAAACAAAACTTTATAAGCACTTTACACACATTGTTGAGTAGAAAACAAACCAAATACAGAGTAAGAAGCCATCAAAGCTGCAGTTTGATCGCGTGGCGCGTGCGCATAAGCAATTGTGCGCCCCCACGTGATATGAGAGTGGATTGTTACTTGGCAACTCACAGAGCGTACTTGTAATCATAGAATATTGTAATGTTAGCTTATTAGTAGTGTTGTAAAATGGTTATTATTATTACTTGTTATTAGCAAGGTTATAAATAAAATTAATAAAAACACTTTTAGCCAAGGTAGCGTAATTCAATCATGTGCATTTAGATTTGCATAAAGTGAAGGCAGGAGAGAGCTATGCCTTTCCAACAACGTTATTCAGTCAGTCAATCAGGTAGTCAGAGTGACAAATTTGTGGTTTTGTAAAATTTTTGTTTTTACTCTACCGACTTTCTCAAGTGCTTTGGTGGCTTGTTACTCTTCAGTTGGGTTGTTTTCTACTCGGCAGGGTGTGTAAAGTACTTAGAAAGTTTTGTTTACATGCTGTTTGCGGTGTGTATTGCATATCTTGTCCATTCATACTATAAGTACTATCGTACTTATGATAATGTCTCCCATAAGCAAGGTATGAGTATTGGATCTTCCTGTCTCACTTCCGTCATCAAACACCCCCTTATGATGGCATGCATTTCGTTAGGGTCACGTAATTTGATTACATACATGTAGTTGTATTTGGTTGCTGAAACAAAGTTTACAACAGAGAAATTTAGCTATATATATACCTTTATTTTAGTTTGACCAATTACCAAAGTTGCAACATGTCAAAATGTTATCCCTCCAATTCCTACCTTGTTTCCTTACTTTTTGATGCTCCTATTTCTACTTCAGAAATTTTTTATTCAAAAATATTTTACACTTGTCCTACGTTTTGGCTGCTGGTTTGCTGCCGTCTTCAGGGAAGTCCTGAGAAGGACTATTTCTGTGGTGGTAGTATTTGGGTTTTGAACCCGAGTCTTCTTGATGGAGATACAGGTGTGATAATTTACTCAAGTTGGGTCTTCCCGTTAGGACTTGAATCAATAACTTCTGTGCTGGGTTGACTGAGTTTGTTATCAGTTAGATTAATGTAAAATGCTTTTCTTTTGTCTCTTCTAGTTTCTGGTTCATATCCCATTATTTTTTCGACATATTCTCTAGCATGAGAAGATAACCATCTATCTATTACAGGTAGATCGGTACTACAACGTATTTTATATCTATTGTGATTTCTAATATTTGTTGTTCACAAGGGATGTTGTAAGTGTAGGATATAAAGTAGTTAGCTATTAGTATGTAGTAATCATAAAAAAATAGTAACTAATGAACAATTAGACTTAGTTGATCATATAGAATATTAACTATATCAGTTATTAATATGTGTTTACCACAATCTTATCTTTAAACATGTTAACTAAATCAGTTATTGATATCTGTTTACCAAAACCTTACTTTACACATATAAACTATATCAGTTATTGATATCTGTTCACCAAAACCTTACTTTACACATATAAACTATATCAGTTATTAATATGTGTTCACCACAATCTTATCTTTACACATGTTAACTATATCAGTTATTGATATCTGTTCACCCCAACCTTAATTTTAAACACACTAAATATAACAGTTGTTAATATCTGTTCACCACAACCTTACTTTTACACATATTAACTATATCAGTTATTGATATCTGTTCACCCCAACCTTAATTTTAAACACACTAAATATAACAGTTGTTAATATATGTTTACCACAACCTTACTTTTACACATATTAACTATATCAGTTATTGATATCTGTTCACCACAATCTTATCTTTACACATATTAACTATAACAGTTGTTAATATCTGTTCACCACAACCTTACTTTTACACATATTAACTATATCAGTTATTGTTATCTGTTCACCACAATCTTATCTTTACACATATTAACTATATCAGTTATTGATATCTGTTCACCACAATCTTATCTTTACACATATTAACTATATCAGTTATTGATATCTGTTCACCACAACCTTACTTTTACACATACTGACTATATCAGTTATTGATATCTGTTCACCACAACCTTACCTTTAAGCATATTTTAGGATTATTAAACCAAGATATTAATAAACATACGTGTTAACAAGTTCCCCGTAAAGGGAACTTCCATTTTAAAAGTGTCAAAGACGTTTTCTAACGTTGTTATGAAAACGGAAAGACTTGGTTCAGAGGGTTTAAAGAAGAGTGTGCTTGTTTTAGAACTAATGATTTGAGGTTCCATCTAACACACAACAAGAGTATTCTTCCAACAATATCAACTCTTACTACTAAGAACTTTATATTTCTTAGTTTCGACTTATAAATATCACAGTTGTTTTGTTCGTGTGAAAATATTAATAACCTCCTGCTTCTCGTTCCTAAAGTTTTCTCCGTTCTCTACTTTTGTAATACTTTCTAATTCTCATCTTGTGGCAGGCCTAAAGTTTTCTCCGTTCTCTACGTTTGTAATATTTTCTAATTCTCATCTTGTAGCAGGCCTAAAGTTTTCTCCGTTCTCTACGTTTGTAATATTTTCTACTTCTCATCTTGTAGCAGGCTTAAAACTTTCTCCGTTCTCTACGTTTGTAATACTTTCTAATTTTCATCTTGTAGCAGGCTTAAAGTTTTCTCCGTTCTCTACTATGTAATATTTTCTACTTCTCATTTTGTAGCAGGCCTAAAGTTTTCTCCCCTTCGTAGTTTGTAGGTTTCCTAATTCCTATCTTGTGGTAGGCCTAAAGTTTTCTTCCCTTCGTAGTTTGTAGGTTTCCTAATTCCTGTCTTGTGGTAGGCCTAAAGTTTTCTTCCCTTCGTAGTTTGTATGTTTCCTAATTCCTATCTTGTGGTAGGCCTAAAGTTTCATCCTCTTCTTAGTTTTCTAAGTTTCATTACGAAGCATACCAAACTAGCCGTAGGTTAGAAGACCTAAATCATGACCAGCTGCAGTTTCGAGTTATACAAGTTCTCATTAGATCCGCTAGAGCTGTAGTTTCGTGTTATATTAGTTCTTGTAAGGCTTATGGTAGGGAATGTCGTCGAATTGAGTTTTGTGCAACTGTGGTTAAGGAAGTTTTAGTTTTGTTTCAATTCCCACTTTTATATTTTCTCAGAATAAACAAGAGGTTTTCCCGTTATTCATTTTGTTCCGTTTACTTTATTTTCTGCCTCGCAGTTTTGTTAAATAGGACAAATTAGCTCTTGTTATGTATTCTTCTTTGTCTGTTAACAAACCTGTTTCACACTCGTTTTTCAGCTTGTTTATTGAGCGCAGGCAATGATCGGCTGAGTCTGTCCGACACTTACCGCACGACCACAGCATCCTCTGGTCTCCCCGACGAGTTCAGGAGCCCTCCGTATCGAGATCTTCAGCCGCTCTCATCTAACGACAGCGGCGAAATACAAGAGAAAAAGCCCGTGCATCCGAAGCTAGTGAATGTTAGTGGGATCTTGGAGATTAAATCCTTGTGGGACGAATTTCACGAACTGGGAACAGAAATGATTGTTACAAAAGCAGGAAGGTGAGTGTCGGATAAAGGTAGTATCCCATACGCACGTGCGTGTATACTCAAAGTTAATGAACAATTTATTTAAATGTTTTTAAAAACTTACATTTCCTGCTACTGCTTTACACAAATTTCCTTTTTAACAACCTGGAAGTGAAATATTTCTCTGCTATAAGATTTATTAATGATACACTATAAATAAATAAAAAGTTGGTGAAATCAGTTTAATTAAACACTCATCATTTCAAGATATTTTTCTCGAACTATTTAAACCTGCCAATGAATGTTTGGTTTACGATAAATACCGTTTAAATTTACTAATGAATGTTTTGTTTAGGATAAAGAACGTTTAAATCGACCAATAAATGTTTCGTTTAAGATAAAGACCGTTTAAATCTACCAATGAATGTTTTGTTTAGTATAAAGGTAGATTTAAACGGTATAGATTTAAACGGTCTTTATTCTAAACAAAACATTCATTCTAATGAATGTTTTATTTATGGTAAAGGCGTGTTTTTGAATGTGGATATTATTGTTCGTATTTAGACTTTAGATAAATCAGTACTATACCATTAGTTCATAACGGTTAACTAAGTAACCATGTAAGTTCAAGTTGCTTTGTTAAGATATGCTGTTCATCTACTGTTTCAACAACGATATATAGTAACTCCAACAATCATATATAGTTTTTCTGTAACTACAACAACGATATATATAGTTTCTCTGTAACTACAATAACGATATTTAATTTATCTATAAATACAACGTCGATAGATAGTCAGTGTAACTCCAACAATAATATATAGTCTTCCTGTAACTGTAATATCAACATATAGATCTTCTGTAACTCAAACATTTTTATGTGGTCTGTATGTATCCCGAACATTGATATGTAGTCCATATGTAACTCAAACATTTTTATGTGGTCTGTATGTATCTCAAACATTGATATGTAGTCCATATGTAACTCAAACATTTTTATGTGGTCTGTATGTATCTCAAACATTGACCACATAAAAATGTTTGAGTTACATATGGACTACATATGGACTACATATCAATGTTCGGGATACATACAGAGAGTTACATAAAACATTTTTATGTGGTGGACTACATATCAATGTTCGGGATACATACAGAGTGGTAGCATATTAAGGACATAACTATCTTCTACCTCATGCGTATTAGCTGATCTTGGGTTATCACCTAGTTCTGAACTCAATTTGAGATATACCAGAGGTATATCGATATTGAAGTTGCAAAATGACTACATACCAATGTTTGAGATACATACAGACCACATAAAAATGTTTCAGTTACATATGGACTACATATCAATGTTTGAGATACATACAGACCACATAAAAATGTTTGAGTTACGTATGGTGGTCTTCTGGTTGTATCCAATCCCCATCTTATGGTTTTCTTAGCCACACCATCTAGTAGTTTGGTTTAATATGATGAAGGCCTTCCGTGGTTGTTACTATTATCTTACCAGGGTAGAGAAGGTTGGACTTAACAAAAGGGTTTATCCTGGGAGTTTTTCAGCTTCCTCGTTTAGCTTTACCCTTGAAGGCCTTTAACATACATTCAGGTGATGGCCTCACTATGCGGTTACTGTGATCTTCCTGCGAGTCAGTAATGTCCATACTTTAGTTTTCTGTATTTCAGTGTCAACTCTTTCTCAAATCAGTAAAAATTACGACACTGTCTAGGTTGCTATTGGTTGATGATCATTGTTTGTTTTATCAATATAGCATTACATGTCTATAACAAAGAAAAATCTAGCCTAACATAGATACTGTTTAAACCTACCAACAATGTAGCATTACATGTCTTTAACAAAGAAAAATCTAGCCTAATATAGATACTGTTTAAACCTACCAACAATGTAGCATTACATGTCTTTAACAAAGAAAAATCTAGCCTAATATAGATACTGTTTAAACCTACCAACAATGTAGCATTACATGTCTTTAACAAAGAAAAATCTAGCCTAATATAGATACTGTTTAAACATACTAAAAATGTAGCATTACATGTCTATAACAAAGAAAAATCTAGCCTAACATAGATACTGTTTAAACCTACCAACAATGTGGCATTACATGTCTATAACAAAGAAAAATCTAGCCTAATATAGATACTGTTTAAACCTACCAACAATGTGGCATTACATGTCTATAACAAAGAAAAATCTAGCCTAATATAGATACTGTTTAAACCTACCAATCAGTCAAGTAGCCAGCTTGCTACTGGTACAGCACCAGTGGTATATCACCAGTCAAGTAGTCAGCTCGCTACCGGTACAGCACCAGTGGTATATCATCGGTCAAGTAGCAAGCTCGCTACCGGTACAACACCAGTAGTATATCATCAGTCAAGTAGCCAGCTCGCTGTTAGATAACCTCCTGTCCCTAGCTCCAACAGCGGTGTCAGGGTGGTCTCGGGTCAGAAACAAACACATGCGTTACCTCTCGTACACGCAACGTCAGTGTTAAGAAATATTGGAAGTAAATATTTATCTCTCGCCTGATGCGGTCTGTTAGCCGACAGTTAATAAAACCTGATTTTGCTCTCTATTTTTTTACCGTACTATATCAAGATCTCTACATGACAAGAAATGGGTTTCCTGACTTGGACTTACCAGGGAGGAAACTATAAATCTTACCACATAAATCTCTACATAACCCTGGTAAGTCCAAGTCAGGAAACCCATTTCTTGAGGAAAGTATCTATGTGGTACTTGATTATTGATAACTTTATGATTCCTTGTAATCTGTGAACCTTTTGGTCTTTCTTTCCTTCTCTCCTTTTAATTTGTACACCTTCTGGCCTTCCTTTCCTTCTCTCCTTTTGATCTGCCCACCTTCTGGCCTTCCTTTCCTTCTCTCCTTTTAATTTGTGCACCTTTTGGCCTTCCTTTCCTTCTCTCCTTTTGATCTGCACCTTCTGGCCTTCCTTTCCTTCTCTCCTTTTAATTTGTGCACCTTTTGGCCTTCCTTTCCTTCTCTCCTTTTGGTATGTGCACCTTCTGGCCTTCCTTTCCTTCTCTCCTTTTGGTATGTGCACCTTCTGGCCTTCCTTTCCTTCTCTCCTTTTGGTATGTGCACCTTCTGAGCTTCCTTTCCTTCTCTCCTTTTGATCTGTGCACCTTCTGACCTTCCTTTCCTTCTCTCCTTTTGGTATGTGCACCTTCTGGCCTTCCTTTCCTTCTCTCCTTTTGATCTGTGCACCTTCTGGCCTTCCTTTCCTTTTAATCTGTGCATCTTTTGGCCTCCCTATATTTCCTACATATATTTAAATTTCTCTCAATTCTATTATCACCGGTTTGTGAAGGATTTTTGGCGGAACTCTTGAGTTAATTTATTGTCAACTTTTTTTCTGAAGTAACTTTAAAAGCTACAACTGAGAGAACATCATTCACAATCAAGTAGATCAGCCTGATAAGACATCTGCCATGTAAGGAGAGTCAGGGATCGAATACTATACAGTTCGAGTATTCAATTTTGTAGGGGATTTCTAGCTACAGATAACTATCGTACGGGTTTTTTATCTATTGTTTATTTTCTAAAATTTTTTTGTTTTGTTTTAACAAAGATTTTTATATTGGATTTACTATGTAAAAATTATAATATTACAGTTGATTAGGGGGGAAAGTCATTTTCAAAACATTTTTTTTTCTTGTAATCTCGTTAAAGTGATTTTTTGTCTAATGTTTTCCTTAATTATGTGTAACTTTTATTGTTCTATTGAAAGCCTACTTTTTATATTAAAAGTATGGAAAATCGTGAATAATTTACATATTTATTAATAAAAAACGAGAGATTTCTTGTAAATCAGTTCTTGTAAGGAACCATTGTTCCACTCTAGACGGATGTTTCCAACATTTCAAGTCAAGCTTTATGGTATGGATCCACTGGGGGACTATATGTTGATGATGGATTTTGTTCCTATAGACGACAAGAGATACAGATACGCCTTTCATAGGTAAGGAACACTTGTTTACAAAAACAAAATATATTCAGTGTATTATTGTAAACTACACATCTGTACAAAGCCAAAATGAATTCATCGTATTGTTGTAAAATCCGTTATGAGATGCTAGGTCTGTTTGCGATCAACTTCCTTTGTATTCTTCCGCTGTGTTATTAATGAATCCGTATTTGTCTTGAGAGTTATCGTGTTGTTTCATTTGGTATGTGCACCTATTAAAAAATATCAATACTGTTATGACGTTAGAGAGGAGTTAGTAATCTTGTAGACCTATTCGTATTTGCTTGAGAAGATCGGTGGCAAAACACATCAAACAAAACTGACGTTAATACACGAGTACCATTACATTGGACGAGCGAACTGTGTTCCATGACCCAAAATAGTAAAGGGAGCGGCCCACGCTCACATTTATAGCGTTGCTGTATTCTTCTGTTAGAATTTAAATTGTTTTATTTCCATAAAACTAGCAGAGGCACCCGGCAATGCTGTGTTTAAAATCAATTCTCTGAATGTGGGGGCATGGGCTGTCCTTTTCACTATTAAGAGCCGTATCAAACGATACGTGTTCGTGCGTTTCTCTACCAAATTTTATTGAAAATGGTATAACCATTTTTTCATAAAAAATTTTGATATCCAACAGACAACACTACTTTAGATAGATAGATATTACCAATCCAAAAACACACGAAAATATTTTATATTAGTATGTGATATATCAGGAATATTATAAACATTTCAGAGATTAGATTATTGGAATATAAGATCCTTCTCAGTCTATTCTTATGTCTGTAAACAATTGTTTTACACTGTTTTCCTCTGTAGTTCAAGTTGGGTCGTGGCTGGTAAAGCTGACCCTGTGATGCCTCCAAGAATTCATGTCCACCCCGATTCTCCGGCCAAGGGTAGTCAATGGATGAAACAGGTCGTGTCCTTTGACAAACTGAAACTGACCAATAATCAGCTGGATGCCAATGGCCATGTTAGTTTTTATAAAGTTTCATTTCACATTTCTCTATCTGCTGATTTTAAATTTTTCTGTTGTTGTTTTTGACGTTTTAATTTCTGTTGTTTGTTGATTTCCTAAATTCCTTCATTTGTTTTTTTAAGAAACTCATTTAAGCTGCGAATCATAAACTAAGTGAGGAAGGCGAAATACAAGACTTTCGTCGATTCTCGAAGTTTCTCTCAGATAAACAGTTCTTCTTAAAGTATTAAAAACGTTATCACGTAAAAAGTCTTGAATTGACCGTTTAAAGGAAAAATCTCAAAATATATCCAGACGAATAATAAAGATCTTATAACTATTACGTGCATGAGTAAAGTAGGCCTAACATACTTAAGCCTAATATTGAACTCGCAATCATGTATGAAAAGTGGAATAATCTGTCGCTCAAGATGCTTCAGTATCTAGCGTTTGTTTTATAAACGAATCAAAACGGGATTCTTCTTAACTGTTTCCTCTTAATGTTCAAAATGAAAGTTTTGTGGTTATATTATGGGATACAAGTAGTGAAACAACATGAGATTAAAGAGAATACAAGAATGTGTCGAAACTAGTTTCTCCAATATCAAGACTTCTGACAGTTTGTTCTATTTACTGTGGTTATTTGTATAACATGTGTTAAACAAATTTCGAGTAAATCACTTTTTTAATTTGCAAAAGGTTTGCAATTGTTCATATATCCACAATTTGTGTTGCTATTTTCAAATACTTAAAAGTAAAAAATAATAATATTATTTTAAAGAATTGACCAGTACAACAGAAATCAAGTCATATTTAAGTATTTTTATTCAATCAAGTTCTGGTTGTTTTTGTTCTAGATTATCCTCAATTCAATGCATAGGTATCAACCTAGGTTCCACGTGGTCTACCTCAATCCTAAAGGAGAAGATGCATCTCAAACAGAAAACTTTAAAACTTTCATCTTTCCAGAAACCAAGTTCACAGCTGTTACCGCCTATCAAAATCATAGGGTAAGTTTCAAACTATAAGAACAGAGAAGAAACTACTTGAAAATAGAAGACATTGAGTATTTTTACAAGTTCGTGACATCATGCGCATGCGTTTATGGTTGATATATCAGCGAGATTTAAAAATTAAGACATGCAGTTATTAAAAACAACATCAAGTAATTTTTTAATTTTAGATTAACATGTTCAATTAAACAATCAACAGTTACACTAACATTCAGCAAGTCAAACTAAACAATCAACAGTTAAACTAACGAAATCAGCAGGTCAAACTAAACAATCAACAGTTAAACTAACAATCAGCAGGTCAAACTAAACAATCAACAGTTAAACTAACAATCAGCAGGTCAAACTAAACAAACAACAGTCAAACTAACAATCAGCAGGTCAAACTAAACAAACAACAGTTAAACTAACAATCAGCAGGTCAAACTAAACAAACAACACTTAAACTAACAATCAGCAGGTCAAACTAAACAATTAACAGTTTAAACTAACAATAGGGTTATTAAACTAAACATGCAATAGGTTAAACTAAAATCAACAGTTTAAACTAGCAATCAACAAGTTAAACCAACAATCAATAATTTAAACTAACAACCAATCAATCAACCAGTTCAAAGTTTTAAATATATTCAGTTATTGAGTAAAGTTTTAATCAATACAAGATTTTGAAACTTATTTAGTTACTTGAAAAAGTTATAATCAATCAACCAATCAGTTCACATTTTTAAATATAGTTAGTTATTGGATGAAATTTTAATCGTTCAGCTAACCAGTTCAAAGTCTTGCAATATATTTAGTTATTGCAAGAAGTTTTAACTGAATACAAAGTGTTGAAATAATACTAGGTGAAGTTTTAACTGAATACAAAGTGTTGAAATAATACTAGGGGAAGTTTTAACTAAATACAAAGTGTTGAAATATTATTGGGTGAAATTTTAAGCAATATAAAGTTTTGAAATATTATTGGGTGAAGTTTTAACTAATACAAAGTTTGAACTATTATTGGGTAAAGTTTTAAGCAATATAAAGTTTTGAAATATTATTGGGTGAAGTTTTAACTAATACAAAGTTTTGAAATATTATTGGGTGAAGTTTTAAGTAATAGAAACGTTTTGAAATATTATTGGGTTAAGTTTTAACTAATAGAAAGTTTTGAAATATTATTGGGTGAAGTTTTAACTAAATACAAAGTGTTGAAATATTATTGGGTGAAGTTTTAAGTAATACAAAGTTTGAATTATTATTGGGTGAAGTTTTAACTAAATATAAAGTTTTGAAATATTATTGGGTGAAGTTTTAACTAATACAAAGTTTTGAAATATTATTGGGTGAAGTTTTAAGTAATAGAAACTTTTGAAATATTATCGGGTGAAGTTTTAACTATTACAAAGTGTTAAAATGTTAATGGGTGAAGTTTTAACTAAATATAAAGTTTTGAAATATTATCGGGTGAAGTTTTAACTATTACAAAGTGTTGAAATATTAATGGGTGAAGTTTTAACTAATACAAAGTTATATATATTTCTAAAGTAGTAATTACAACAAAAACCTAAATGGTTTGCACTATGAGAAAGTGAAGACTTAAAGTAGTTATATTTCCTAGTGTTAAGCACAAAGCTACACAATGGGCTATTTGTATTGTGCCCACCACGAGTATTGAAACCCGATTATTACCGCCGATCCGCCGGGGGCGTCCTCTATTATTGTACACTGAATTACCGTCTTTGTTCAATAACACTTACTTGCTTTGAGTAACTGTACACTTGAAAGTGAATAGTGAGAGCATAGCCTTCTATCATTTTAAAGCCGTTATTCCAAATAACCGCTGGCACTGGACCACCATAGTGAGGTAACCATCATTGCCATATTCGACATGTTTCTCATGTCCGCGCGGACACTCAAGTTATTCTTTACCAAGTGTTTATAATATCTCGTCTGTCTCACTATTTCAAACTTTTTTTTTCTAGTGTAAAAAACATGGTCTTCATTAAATGGAGAGAAAGTAGCAATAAAACACCTTAAACAATATTTCCAACTGATGAGATTTTATTGCAAATATTTGTTATTCATAGTGAAAAAAAATACATTAAATCATTAAGTTTTATTTGCACATTTTCTTGGTAAGATTTTGTCCTTAACATCGGTAAAAACAAAGACATTCAACTGGTAATTCAATTCAACCTACTTACTCGAGGTCTTGTATATATCCTTGGAATATTTTATAGTTTCTACATTATATTATGATAACAATTCTCATTTTACTACAAGCTTTTCAAACTATTTTAGCCTAAGCTGCTATATCTCGGTGTCTACTGCTACTGGTAAGTCTGGTCGCTTTATGAAATTCAATGCCACTTACTGAGACTGTTCACTGTTGAGAATAAGTGTTTTGGAATTATTCTAGTATATTTTTGGTAGTTCGAGATGTTAAAAGCTGGTTAGAAGCAACTATCAGTGAATCAACCTTTTATTTTATTAATAAAGTCACCTGTAATAGATGCAATAATAATACATATTACTATTAATAAGCAACAATAACAAGCAAACAATGGTGTATGCTTCAGACTCAAAGATCTGTACTTGTAGTGCATTATCTGTGTCTTCAAAGATCCGTTATAGATGCAGTTAACTGTTTACAAAAATTCTCAGTTCTTGTATATTGTTTCCGAAGATCCGTTATAGATGCAGTTAACTGTTTACAAAGATCTGTTATAGATGCAGTTAACTGTTTACAAAATTCCCAATTCTTGTATATTGTCTCCGAAGATCCGTAATTGTTGTCTTTTTTCAAACATCGTTAATTGTTATGCATCATTTATAATTGTCGTCTTTTCATTTCTCACCGTGTACGAAAGCAACTAAACCTAACTATATTTTATCTTCATGTCATGGTATAAAAGCCACTAGACCTAACTATATATTTTCTCTTCACGTCATGGTATAAAAGCCACTAGACCTAACTATATATTTTATCTTCATGTCATGGTATAAAAGCCAGTAGACCTAACTAT